ATTAAATCTCACAGAAACTCCGCGAACCTCCACGAAGTTCTCGGTGTTGTCCACGTCACGATCTAGTTTTAAAGCTTCGGCAGACAATCTTTGTCCGCATGAGCTAATTATTCCCGCTGGCGCTCTGTCACGTTGCTGGCGGCCATTTTTAGACGCGTTGCTAGGGGGAACTAAAAATTACTTTTTTTTCTTCTTATTTAATTAAAATTTGAAAGAGAAATCAATTATCAATTTGGTTTTTTTCTAGATTTTCAGCCCGCAACAAATGCAGTGGTTATTTAAAAAGAGGGCCAAGAATGTTAAGTAACAATTTTATAATAACAACATGCGTCACGATTTTTAATTTAAATTTCAATGAAAAATTAAACAAAACTAAGAAAACCGTAAACACATTCCTCAACATTAATTTCAAATTATCCTCTAATTCTATTTCACAATGAGGTCACGTGTCCACATTCATCCATCCAGGAATGAGCCCATAAATCCGGTCCATCGACCACCTAACACAATCATCGTCTGCTCGCCCATTTCCGCTTCCGGTAATAAAATAATTTACAGACGACACTGATCAAGCATCTCTTGCAACGGGTGGAGATCCAGATTTGAAACAAGCCGCCACTTTTTGTCTTGGAGCAAACAGACCGAATGTAAATAATTCCAGACAATTCCGCTAGGGCTGTTTACTTCTAGCGGGTTTTTTTTAAATGTATTAACACTTCTAGAAGAAGAAAAAAAAACGTCTAGGGAAAGTCTAAGAGCCCTTTTTTTATTTTATTTTATTTTTTTTTATTTTTTGAAAAGCTTCATTTTTTGTGATTTCTCTATCTCCAACTACCGTAAAAAGTCACAAAATAACACGGTCATAAGCAGACCTTACAACCCCCCCACCCCCACCCCCCACCTCCACCACCAATCATCTTCATTTGTTGCGTGGTGAGCACGATGCCCTGCCGCCCTGACTTCCCCCACCCCTGACTAGACAGCTAGCTGGAGAAAATTACACAATTTTTTATGACTTGTTCAGTGGCACGTACGCCCCCCCCCCCCCCCCCCCCCACCCTCCCCATCTTTTCTACCGGAACATTTTCCAAATAAGACTGGCTCATTTAAGAAAAGTTAGTTGTTTTATTTTTAAGGTAGGCTATACCGAAAGTTTCATTTGCTTAAAGTTGAGTTTTGGAAAATCCTTTTACTTTTTATGTATTACAATCGCATGATATATTTACACTTAAATATTTTAAAAATCTGAATGAATACATAATTAAGCTAATTTATAACGTGTGGAGGAAATCAACGTAGCCTTTTTTCTTCTCTAATTGTAAAAATAAATTCTGTCTGAAACAAAAGTGGTTGTTGGACTGAAATTAAAATTAGCTTCATCGGCACTCTGGCAAGATGAAAAAATTCTACACAACAATTTTATATTTTTAAACGCCTGTAAAAAAAAATCATTCATTGGACAAGGTTGCCATGTTGGAAATTTCCCAGGATTCATTTCTTGCAGGTTGATCGATAACTTTGTCAACTTCTCAATGCTAACGTTATCGTCGCTCTGTTATCTGCGTCCACTCGATAACTCTGACAACTTCTCAATTTTAGAGTTGTGTTTTATCTTCGCCAACACGAACATTTTGAGCGCTACTTTGTCATCGCTAGCACGAAAATTTAATGTTCTATTTTATCATCGCTAAGTCGAAATCTTTGAGCTTGGTTTCTGTAGTCGATGTTCTTGAGCCGACTCAGCTGTGACTAGTACCTGCATAAAGTTTTGGAAACTGAAAATTTCTGTGCGTGTTGCTGACAACGCAATTTATTAACAGTAGGCGCTTAGAGAAACAGACAATTTATTTAATTTCTATTTTTTTACTGGTACTCAACCACTCTATCCTTTTCTCAATTTAGTTTTATGGTATAGTTATGTTGTCGTCTTTCTATCATTTGTTACCAGTTGTTTTTTAATATTTTATCGTGTTTGTATCATTTGTTACCAGTTATTGTTTTAATATTTTATCGTGTTTGTATCATTTGTTATCAGTTATTGTTTTAACATTTTATCGTGTTTGTATAATTTTTTATCAGTTATTGTTTTAATATACTATCGTGTTTGTATCATTGATTCCTTCGGGCAAGTGGCATTTGGGCATTTGTCGCATTCGGGCAAGTGTCCATTCGGGCATTTGTCCCATTCGGGCAAGTGTCCATTCGGGCATTTGTCGCATTCGGGCAAGTGTCCATTCGGGCGTTTGTCGCATTCGGGCAAGTGTCCATTCGGGCGTTTGTCGCATTCGGGCAAGTGTCCATTCGGGCATTTGTCGCATTCGGGCAAGTGTCCATTCGGGAAATTAGCCTTCGGGCAAACGGCATTCGGGCAAGTGTCTTTCGGGAATTTGTCGTAGACCCCTCTGCCTCATAGATCGACTCTAACTAAAATCGATAGGATGATTGTTAATCAGTATAAAAAAATATGGAGACGACAGAAATTGTTACTATCGATTAGATATTTTAGAGCCTCTGAACTGTACAAAAAATATTTAAAATAGTCCGATTTTTAAAAAAAAAAACTGCATTATCGAAATAAGTTTTTTGCTGATAAAAAAACTTTAGAAGCTGCCAGCATTAAAGTTGCTTTGGACATTAGAATGAAACAAATGCTTTTTTTTTAAAAAAAAGAAAGAAACGAAAATCCTTCAATTGTGATTTATAAATTTTTAAAAAATAAATCAGATTTACAATGAATTATTAATCGGACAAACATAACTTTATATCAAGCTGTTTAACTGCTCTAGCAGGTCATTACCTGGCCACTGGGTGAGCTACCAGATTGGATTTCGACCAAACCAAACAGCCGGGGGTATTTAAAATGGTCTGCGCAGTTTGAACCCGCCTGTTGACTCGGCTGGTTTCTTGTTGACATTTTAAACAAACGAGATTCGCCATCTTAGCCTGGGTAGTGTCGGAAAACTCTGAAAGGCCGGGTAGGGTCGGAAAACTCTGAAAGGTTGGGTAGTGGAAAACTCTGAAAGGTTGGGTAGTGTTGGAAAACTCTGAAAGGTTGGGTAGTGGAAAACTCTGAAAGGTTGGGTAGTGTTGGAAAACTCTGAAAGGTTGGGTAGTGTTGGAAAACTCTGAAAGGTTGGGTAGTGTCGGAAAACTCTGAAAGGTTGGGTAGTGTTGGAAAACTCTGAAAGGCCGGGTAGGGTCGGAAAAGTCTGAAAGGTTGGGTAGTGTCGGAAAGTTCTGAAAGGTTGGGTAGTGTGGGAAAGTTCTGAAAGGTTGGGTAGTGTCGGAAAACTCTGAAAGGTTGGGTAGTGTTGGAAAACGCTGAAAGGTTGGGTAGTGTTGGAAAACTCTGAAAGGTTGGGTAGTGTTGAAAAAGTCTGAAAGGTTGGGTAGTGTCGGAAAACTCTGAAAGGCCGGGTAGTGTCGGAAAAATCTGAATGGCTGGGTAGTGTCGTGAAATTGACTCTACCATTCGGCAGTGTTGGAGAACGGAACGTACTTTTACTGTGATTTCTCAACCGCCATTGAAGACGTACCCTTTATCTTATCCATAGTTTCTTCCAGGCATCTCTTCGGTTGGGCGAAGCCCCCCCGAAAAATTTTTACCGCCCCCCCCCCCCCCCCCGAACGAAATGAAATTTATATAATTTATATAGAGAATATATACTTTTAACAGTGTCCGCCCCCCCGAAGAAAGTTTACCGCCCCCCAGAAGATTTCAAGTGCCCCCCCCCCCCGGAGAAAAAAGTCTGGAAGAAACATTGATCTTATCTATTGTAAATTGCCAATTTTTCAAGCTGCTTTTAAACTAGGTTACTCCGTGTGTTTAAGGTCAGTTCAGCCATCTCTAGAATGTATAAGCTGATCACAGCTACATCCCGGGGGAACTGCTCTGCTTTGCTCTTTTGTTATGTCCCGATTCGTTCCACGTTCCTTATTCCCTGTTCCCTTCTGTTCTGTTCTGCTCCGTTCTGTTCTGTTCCGTTCCGTTCTGTTCTGTTCTGTTCTGTCCTGTTCCGTTCTGTTCTGTTCTGTTCTGTTCTGTTAAGTTCTGTTCTGTTCTGTTCCGTTCCGTTCAGTTCCGTTCTGTCCCGTCCGTTCTGTCCTGTCCTGTCCTGTCTGCCCTGTCCTGTCTGTACTGTTCTGTTCTACTCGAAGTGCCAGCTTCATCATAACCAGCCTGCCCCACCCGCCAATGTTATTTGATTAAAGACATAACACGCACGCGTCATAAAAGAAATGCGATCCTCATCATTTGTAACGTTGTTCTTCATCGATCGGCGGCAGGGAGACAACCCACAGGAATCTTTACAAGTTATGGTTTCAAAGTAAAATATTGCCGTGACGTGCGGGCTACTAGTGCTGGAACGGTCAGGGTCTGACCGCCGGTCTCACTAGTCGGCTCACTTCTGGGACCAATGCTGGTCTCACTTATGGTTTCACTATTGGGCTCAAATATCGCCTCACTTACAGCGCCTATTCTAGTATCTGTTATGGTGTCAGTATAAAGACCATCTTTGGTCTCATTTGGGGTCTAACTAGTCACACTTAGGTCTCTCTCCTAATATATATATATATATATATATATATATATATATATATATATATATATATATATATATATATATATATATATATATATATATATATATATATATTCCACCGGAAACGGAAATGTTTTAGGCAGCATAAAAATATTTATTTTTCTTTTCGAAGAGACACACCATCCCCCGCCCTCACAATTGATTTTACATTAAGAGTACAATTGTCATTTTTTTTCTACAAATTACTGAAAGTTCTTGATTTTCAAATTATGCCAATATAAACAGACATCATCGATAATTGGACTCGTCTGCGGCCAATCAGCATCATCAGCCGCGCGTGGTGTGTGACGTCGTTGTCAGCCTACAGGAAGTAATTGGCGCAGCAACCCGAGGGTTCAAATCACAAAAATTGATTCCAGCGGTGTGCCATAGCTCACTCACGTGTCGTCAACAAAATAAGGGACGTCACTCTGCGGTTTTCTTGACAGAGTTATCCGCCGTGTATTCTCCCAGTTGTCCATTGTTGTTGGTCTCCGTCACGACCTCTCATTCATCAGCCTGGAAGAAACTTGTTACTCTTGAAGTCTGGTGTTGTTGCTTGCAGTTCCTACCACGTCTTTACCGGTGTTGGAGAGTGGATGTAGCACCGCAACCTGTTGGAAGTAAGAATTTTCTTCTTAAATTTGAGGTTTGTGTTTTTGACAAGTATTGAAGTCAAGTATATTTGTCAGCATTGTGTATGGTGTTGATAAACAATTTATATTTTACTAAAGTCATTGTGCTGTCTCGCGTTGTGGTTTTAATATTTGTTACAAATAAACACGTTTGCTCCATTAAGGTAATAGGCCAACTTGGTGTGTTGTAGAGCCAATTGATGGGCCAATTTGATGAATTGATGGGCCAACTTGTTGTATTGATTGGCCAACTTGTTGTATTGATTGGCCAACTTGTTGTATTGATTGGCCAACTAGTTATATTTGGCCAACTTGTTGTATTTGGCCAACTTGTTAATTTTTGGCCAACTTTTTGTATTTGGCCAACTTGTTGTATTGATTGGCCAACTTGTTATATTTGGTCAACTTGTTGTATTGATTGGCCAACTTGTTGTGTTGATTGGCCAACTAGTTTTGTTAATGGGCCAGTTGATGGGCCAACTTGTTATATTGATGGGTCAACTTGTTGTATAGATAGACCAGCTTGACAAGATGGTGTTGTTCACAGGTCTGACTAAATGGTGTCGGTCTGGCAAAATGTAACAATAAAAAGAGATCATGTCGATGTATTTCTGCACCAATCGCCTATCGCTTCGATTTAGCTGTATCGATTTGTTTTTGATCAGCTGAAGGAATGGGGGGGGGGGATAAAAAAAATTATTTTTGTAAGATGAGTTGATAGTTGATATAACTCAGGTTTTGTAAAGAGGAGGGAATAGTTGGAATGACCCATGTTTTGTAAGGTAGAATAGTGGGTATAACTCGTGTTGTAAAGAGCGGTGAATAGTTGATATAAATAATGCTTTGTAAAGCGGAGTTGACTTCGTACTTCTCTTGTGAAGCAGTTTTCATGTGTTTTTTGTACAGCGGAACGGCTATAGCTAACGTGTAGGAGTTGATATTGATATCATTCGAGTATTTTTAAAGAGAGCTGGTGTTCGTGTATTATAAAGAGAGTTTGATGGTCGGGTATTGTAAAGAGAGTTTGATGTTCGTGTATTGTAAAGAGTATGATGGTCATGTATTGTAAATAGTTTGATGTTCGTGTATTGTAAATAGAGATGATATTCGGGTATTGTAAAGAGTTTGATGTTCGTCTGTTGTAAATAAATTTGATGTTCGTGTAATGTAAAGAGTTTTATAGTCATGTATTGTAAAGAGTTTGAGGTTCGTGTGTTGTAAATAGAGTTTGATGCTCGTGTATTGTAAACAGAGCTGATATTGTTTATGGCAACTGGCAGCTCTACGAGGTCGCTCACGTCCCTTAAATAGCCATTCTCTTAATCAATAAAAGCGTGATTTATCATTTCACGATCTCTCCATACGTATGGGTCAGGGTTACTAGCGGAGGTTTTGATATCTTTGTACTGGATGCTGCATTCGGTGATATCTTGGTTTCAAAATGTTGCCGCGAGTCACATTTATAGTGAGAACAGATGGTGTTTGGTTTAGCATGAGGGCAGAAATAAAAGTTTAGTGATGACCACATCCTTTAGAGACAGCAACAGTAATTTGGTTCATTTAGATCAATGACGTCCTCGACTTTAATAAAAACAGCAGTCATTTGTCGCAGAGCCGTACCAACATGTTCGTTATGACGTTACTCAACCACTAACTGCTAACACTGTGTGAAAGTGTGGGTACGGCTAATCTTAACGGCTAACACGGTACGACTATCGCTAACCCTAACTGCTGACACAGTATGGAAAGGTGGGTACCTCTAACCCTAACTTCTACCACTGTATGGAATTGTGGGTACATTTAACCCTAACTGCAAACGCTGTATGAAAATTTGGTACCTCTAACCCTAACTTCTAACACAGTATGCAAATGTGGGTTCCTTTAACCCTAACAGCTAACACAGTATGGAAATGTGGGTACCTATAACCCTAACAGCTAAAACAGTATCGAAATGTGGGTACCTCTAACCCTAACTGCTAACACAGTATTGAAATGTGGGTACCTCTAACACTAACAGCTAACACAGTATGGAAATGTGGGTACCTCTAACACTAACAGCTAACACAGTATGGAAATGTGGGTACCTCTAACACTAACAGCTAACACAGTATGGAAATGTGGGTACCTCTAACCCTAATTGCTAACGCTGCATGAAAGTCTGGGTCCGGCTAGTCAATAGGAGCCTTACAACCCCACTCTTTTGTTTTTTTCCTGCAACGAATGACACGCCGAATGACGTCAAGCTAATGACAGTTTTCCGCTGCTTCCCCCCCCCCCCCCCACCGCCCCGGGTACCCACACGAAAGCCACTTCCGGTTGACAGCGAGCACTTTTGGCGGTCGTCTGCCGCGGGGTTGAGACCTGGTGAAGCAGACAATCAAACGCTGGTGATTGGCAGATAAACCACGTGATCGAGATAGGTCGAAGTTTGGGGTCGCGTTACATTTAGGTACCTAACCGTTTGAGAACCTTTTGTGTCGCTTGTTTTAACAATTAGCTGTACTCACGTATGTGTCAGTCAATCGTCTGCAACAACCCTCAGGGTTAGATAGGTGATTGACTGGGATAGCACAGGGTTAGTTAGGTGACTGACTGGGATAGCACAGGGTTAGTTAGGTGACTGACTGGGATAGCACAGGGTTAGATAGGTGAATGACTGGGATAGCACAGGGTTAGTTAGGTGACTGACTGGGATAGCACAGGGTTAGATAGGTGACTGACTGGGATAGCACAGGGTTAGATAGGTGACTGACTGGGATAGCACAGGGATAGATAGGTGACTGACTGGGATAGCACAGGGTTAGATAGGTGACTGACTGGGATAGCACAGGGTTAGTTAGGTGACTGACTGGGATAGCACAGGGTTAGATAGGTGACTGACTGGGATAGCACAGGGTTAGTTAGGTGACTGGATGGGATAGGTTTGTGGTCAAAACATTGGGGTCGGCAATACTGCCTTATGTGTAAAGGAATATAAGAATATAAGGGATAGAGTATATATTATGTAAAGCAAGAAATGTGAACTTGTAGGGACTCGCATACCCATTGAGGTAACTGTGGACTAACAAAGGTAATCCGTGGACTAACAAAGGTAGTCTGTGGACTAACAAAGGTAGTCTGATGGACTAACAAAGGTAGTCTGTGGACTAACAAACGTAGTCTGTAGTCTAACAAAGGTATTCTGTGGACTAAACAAAGGTAGTCTGTGGACTAACTAAGCTAATATCTGTTTTAAAAAACACCTTGTTATTTTCTCTCTGTGAAAATTAACGACCGTCGCATTTTCGGTCTGAGAAAAAAGTGATCTAATTATTGGATTTTTATAGCATCTTCTAGCCCACTTTTGAGCTACAAGAAAAAAAAATCTTGCCTCCTACACAATTTCCCTCACAAAAAACCCACATAATTCGCGTGTACAAGAATCGACTTTAGTAAAACCACAATATTCACAAGTAAAGAAATATAATTTAGTACAACCACAATATTCACATGTAAAGAAATACAATTTAGTACAACCACAATATTCACATGTAAAGAAATATAATTTAGTACAACCACAATATTCACATGTAAAGTAATATAATTTAGTGCAAACAACAATATTCACATGTCAAGAGATATAATTTAGTACAACCACAATATTCACATGTAAAGAGATATAATTTAGTACAACCACAATATTAACATATAAAGTAATATAATTTAGTACAACCACAATATTCACATGTAAAGTAATATAATTCAGTACAACCACAATATTAAACCCTAAGTAAAGATCACAAAAACATCATGTACTGTAGTCAAAAACCACAAAACAATGTATGACTACTGTCCTATCGTCATCTAAATCATCTTTTCCATTTCGCGACCAGGAATAATGACTTGTCTCAAAAAAAACTCTTTCCACTTCTGACTATCTCGAGCAACTTTCTTTGCAGTTTCCGAAGATAATCGTAGTGTTGTTAGTAGTTTTACTGCTGTAACTGAGCGTCTTCGTGTCTCCTTTAATATTACCCGCTTCCTACGTCTAAACTGATTTTTTAACATCTCTTACTCATAATCCAACCCTAGCTCAAAAAAATTATATGGACACTGCCCTAATGGCCAAAAAAATGTGATGGATCGCAATGCGTTGAATAATTCGTTAACAATCATTTATAAAAATGTTAGTATTTTTGGCGTGCGTGGAAAGCACATTATGTGAGTGTGGGTGTGAGCACATTATGTGAGTGTGGGTGGAGAGCAGAAGAATGTGAAACTGGAATAAGGTGTGTGTGGGGGGGGGGGGAATCTTGGGTCCAAAGGGTGACATCGATTCCGCACATTACGTTGATGTACTCGAAGACATCGGCACTATAGATTCGACATATCCTTAGGGATAGCATGCGTTGGATTGGGTGATGGTTTATAATTGTTCTTGGCACACATCCAATCTTTGACAGTACATAAGCCTACATCAACACGAAAATTGAATCGGAAACTGTATGTTTGTAATTCGCTAAACTTTCGGTTGTATAAAAAATGTAAACGTTAAATCTACATAGACTGTTCTTCCATATTGTTTCTTCCAAATGAGTTTAGTCTCAGCTGTTCGGTTAGTTGTTTTTCCTAACGGTCTGTAGTTCCTTCCTTAAGTACCTTTCGTTTTTGTAACGTGGTCGTCTTGGATCTAGCTGTCTTAGTTCTTTACCCCCCCCCCCCCTCGTTTGTGTTGTTGTCAAATTGGACCTAGCTGTCTGTAGTTCCTCTAGCCCCCCCCCCCATGTTGTTTTCTGTTGTGGTCGTCTTGGACCTAGCTGTGTGTAGTTCCTTTAACCACCCCCCCCCCTGTTTGTGTAGTTCCTTTAGCCCCCCTCCTACCCCCCCCCCCCTGTTGTTTTCTATTGTGGTTGTCTAGGACCTAGATGTCTTTAGTTCTTCAATCCCCCCCCCCCCCTGTTTGTGTAGTTCCTTTAGCCCCCATGCCCACCCACCCACCCCCCTGTTGT